TAAATATCAAGATTACAACTCTAAGAACAACGGGAACAAGCCTACTGCTGCTGCTATGTTTGTGAACAATGGTCAGCTGCCCGACAATTCCAAAATCCAATGCGTTTACTGTAGTGGTCGCCATTATTCAGCATCATGCGAAAAGATTGTTCCTTGTGAAGCTCGAAAGAAAGTTCTTAGTGAATCAGGACGTTGTTTCAATTGTTTATGGAAAGGACACAACGCGAAAGACTGTAACAATGCAAGAAAGTGCCGCCACTGCCAGGGCAGGCACCACCAATCGATATGTTCACGAAATCAGAAAGTCGAAAGCGCGAAGTCAACCGAACAGGCGAAAAATGAGGAATCTACAACAACAGCCACAAAAATCTGTAAGGGTACTGTTTTACTTCAAACAGCTAGAGCAAAGGCAACGAACGGTGTAAGATCAGTTCCCGTACGCGTATTATTTGACACAGGGAGCCAACGCTCTTATATTACGAATTCAACTCAAGCGAAATTAAAGTTGGAACCACTTAGAAAGGAAACACTGTATTTGAACACATTTGGGGACAATAAATGCAAGCGCCAAAACTGCGAAATCTACAAATTCAATATCGAGAACCAAAACGGAAGTGAAGAGGTAGAAGTTACAGCAATTCATTTCCCTATAATATGTTCTCCACTGAGTTCGAAAGTCAACACGAATTACGTACATCTGGAAGGGCTGGAACTTGCAGACTTTGGCGGCGACGATAATGAAAGTAACAGCATCGATATCCTAATTGGCGCAGACCATTATTGGGACATTGTCACAGGTGATGTTGTAAAAGGTGAAAGTGGTCCTACAGCGGTCAGCAGCAAGCTTGGATGGTTGTTATCCGGTCGAGTACCAAAATCTGCTGAACACGAAGATCCAACTGTTTCAAATCTCATCCTAACTGGTGAATCATTGGACACATCAAGATACTTCACCGCGCCAACGAACGAGGACAAGATTGTCAATTCACTAAAGCGTTTTTGGGAAACAGAGTCCATAGGAATAGACAATTATCAAGCTGAACCAAACGATGATGTCAACTTCATTCGTGATATTCGATTTACAGGAGGACGGTACGAAGTTCGCCTACCTTGGAAAGAGGACAATCCTGAGGTCGGAGTCGACTACGAACTTTGTTACAATCGGTTACGGTCGTTGCATCAGAAGTTAACAAGACAACCTGAGCTTCTTCGAGAATATGACAAAGGAATTCAGGAACAATTAACATCGGGAGTAATCGAGCGAGTGCCTTATCAAAGCGACGACAGCAAAGAGAACGAAAACAACGTACATTATCTTCCACATCACGGTGTTGTAAGGAAAGACAAATCGACTACAAAGTTGCGAGTGGTCTATAACGGATCAGCTACCACTACTTCACGGACACGATCTCTTAACGATTGCCTTTTGACTGGTCCCAACTACATTCCACATCTTTTCAATATTCTCGTCAAATTCAGATTAAACCCAGTCGCCCTAGTAGCCGATATCGAGAAGGCCTTCCTGATGGTGGGAATTGACGAAGTCGATCGCGATATGTTGCGTTTTTTGTGGTTTAAAGACGTCCACGACCCAAAGTCCGAGATAGTAGAATATCGATTTTGCAGATTGGTTTTCGGACTGAGACCATCTCCTGCCATTTTGGGATCGACGATTGATCACCATTTGCGTCTCTACGAAGATCGAAGTCCAGAAATAGTAGATATTCTTAAGAATTCATTGTACGTCGACGACTTGATATCGGGAGCTCAGAATGACAACAAAGCGTTCAACATCTACAAGGATTCGAAGCAAGTTATGTTAGACGGAGGTTTTAATCTACGTAAATGGAACTCGAATTCGAGTACTCTAATGGAAAGAATCGCTAGTATTGAGGAGAAAGTTGAAACTACAACTGCACAGCAACCCGTGATGGAAGAAGACCAATCTTACGCCAAAGCATCAATTGGTCAGCAACCGAACACAACTGAAGACAAGCTAACCAAAGTATTAGGGCTTCCTTGGGATCCCGATTCGGACGAATTCGTGTTTAACTTATCTACGTTGGCGACCTACGCTCGATCGTTGCCTACCACAAAACGGACGGTGCTAAAGGTAACAGCTAAAATATTCGATCCTATGGGATTTTTAAGTCCGTTCACAGTTAAGATGAAAGCCATATTTCAAGAACTGTGCACAGAAAAGGTAGACTGGGACGAGGAGCTAAGTGGTAATCTTTTGTCGAAGTGGAATGCGATTCTAAGCGAGCTAGACAATTTGGACAACGTACGAATCCCAAGGTGCTATAACACACCGACTGTCGAGCCGACCAAGGTCGAATTACATGGATTTAGCGACGCTTCGCAAATAGCATATGCTGCAGTTGTTTATTGGAGAGCTGTGTACGAGGACGGACATGTTGACGTTAGACTTGTAGCATCTAAAACGAAGGTAGCACCGTTGAAAAGACAAACTATTCCACGCCTGGAATTGCTGGGAGCCACTATTTTGGCTAGATTAATCAATACCGTGCAAAATTGTCTTCCAACGAATCAAGACATCGAAATCTACAATTGGACTGACTCCAGAGCAGTTTTATGCTGGATCACGAATGAAAAACCCTGGAATCAATACGTACAACGTAGAGTACAAGAAATACGACAACTTACGCCGAAAGCTTCATGGGGGTTTTGTCCCGGTTCTCAAAACCCTGCCGATTTACCATCTCGTGGGATACAAGCATGTGATCTCATTCGCAGTTCGGTGTGGTGGAGTGGACCAGAGTATCTTTACAAGCCTCAGTGCGAGTGGCCGAAGGATCCAGCAGCGAACGCCCTGGATGACACAGCTTTGAACGAAACCGTTAAGAAACCACAGACTGTTATTCATTCACTCGTTAGTACGAAAGAAGAAAAATCAGCTGAATTGAATCTGAACGACATCATAAATTGTGACCGTTTCAGCAGCTTCGCTAAGCTGTTGCGTGTAACAGCGTACGTGTTAAGGTTTGTCAACGAACTTAAAGTTAAACGAGCTGCTAGGAACACGGAGAATATGCAAGAAACGAAATCAACAAATATAGAACTGATGGCACAGGAACTTGATGCAGCAGAAACACTTTGGCTCAGATCAATACAATTGACATCATTTCCCAAAGAAATCGAGTTTCTGAAAGGAAAGAATAAGGGATCACCGCCCGAACGTGTTCGTCAATTTGGCCTATACTTCGATAATGATCAAGTTATTAGATGTAAGGGGAGAATCAACAACTCGAGCTTACCACCGGAAGGAAAGAATCCCATCTTACTACCTTCGAAGCATTTAGTAATCGAACTGATCGTACGAGAAGTTCACGGAAGAGTTAAACACAACGGGATAAGAGACACGTTGACCACGATTAGAGAACGGTATTGGATATTACGTGGAAGAGAAACGGTTAAAGGGATTATCAAGAGATGTGTAGTTTGCAGAAAAGCCGAAGGAATGCCATTCCAAGCCCAGCCTTTACCCGACTTGCCAGCGAGCCGAGTTTCAGAACAACCTCCATTTACGAATGTAGGACTTGACTTTGCCGGACCTATGTTCATTCGAAGCGAAATCGAAAATCTATCATCAAGCAATTCCACGAAAACTTACATTCTATTGTTTACATGTGCAGCAACTAGAGCTGTGCATCTCGAATTAACGCTGTCTCTGGAAGTATCGTCCTTTTTAAGAGCCTTTCGAAGATTTACAAGTCGACGAGGACTTCCATCGTTACTATTATCCGATAATGCCAAGACCTTTAAGGGAGCATGCAAGGAGATCTGCAAATTGAAACGAGCACCAGAGGTATGGGACTATTTAACGAACAATCGTATAACCTGGAGATTTATCACCGAAAGGGCACCCTGGTGGGGTGGCTTCTGGGAGCGCTTGGTCAGAAGTATTAAGAGGCCATTGAAGAAAATAATTGGCAGATCAAGTTTGACCTACGACGAATTAAACACTATCTTAATAGAAGTGGAGGCACTGATTAACGCGCGACCAATTACTTACATATACGATGACGATGAGTCAATCTCCTATCCATTATGCCCGTCGCATTTGATTTACGGACGTCGCATCACCGCTATGCCTTCGAGTGAGCATTACGAAGTAGTCAGCACATATCATTCACTTACGAAAAGATCGCGTCATCAAAGAAAGTTATTGCAACAATTTACGAAGCAATGGAGTAGGGAATATTTGCAAGGTCTGCGAGAGCAAGCAATAAAGTCGAGCAGTAGCAACAATATGGATATTTCTATTGGAGATATTGTCATCTTAAAGAATGAACAAACGTGTCGTAGTTTCTGGAAATTAGCAAAGATTGAAGAACTTTTACAAGGAGACGATGGATTAGTTCGTGCAGTTATCGTTAAAGTTCTGGGTGGCAAAGACAACAAAGTGCAATTGTTACGACGTTCAATTCAACATCTTATACCAGTGGAAGTGAAATCGCCAACGGAAAAGATCAAAGATGTACCGGTTTCGTCGAGAACAGATGATGAATCATCAACCGCCGTGTCGTCAACTGGTCGACCGCGACGCAACGCTGCTGTAGTGGGTGAATTGCGAAGACTGGAACAGATGAAAGAGTTTCAAAGGAAGACATAGACATTATCCATTAATTAATGATTTGAGAAACCAATTATGCGAACAGTTAGACAGACTGTAGTTCGTGAAACTTTCATATTTGTAGTTTACGATTATGCTGGGGAGTATTGTTGAGCACTGTGTACGGCTCAACCCTGGGGAGTGTTATGAACAGAGTAATTAACATTTTAATATATCGTTACATTATCAGACAGAGACATTATGCTATAATTAGCTATAAATAGGTTCACTGTATTAACTGTCAATCATGTACGTAATTGCTTTGTTATTGTAATTTTGTATTGTCTTCGAGTAAAATATATTGTTTCATTGTTGTTTACGAAGGAGTTCAAGCGAATTACGAGCGATTTATAAGCGATTTACGAGCGAATTACGAGCGATTTATAAGCGATATACGATATTTATTACAGTAATTTAATATATGTCGCCAATGCGCTTAGTCTGTTTTATACTGTAGCCTATAAACACGTCTTTTGTTTGTTTGTTTGTTTGTTTGTTTGTTAAACTTTATTGAGTACAAATTAATTCAACAATTATTTATCTAACATACAATTAAGAGCTGTACTCAAACGGACAAGGCACAAACTGGACGTAAAGTCCATTGCATGGTGCCCCTCCTTTTCCTAACATAAACCTTTTATATACAGTACAGGGTGTCCGAAAAAAAAAAAAAAAACCCACTGAAACAACGCACTGCCAGAATTTTCTTGGCGGAAGTAACCATATTTTTTCGAGAATGCGTTTTTTCCCACCCACTTTCAAAATTCGGCGCCCCTTTTTCATTTTTGCGCCCCCCCAAGAATTGCCAGCTGGGGGGGGGGGGGCCGTGGCCCCCCGGCCCCCCCTGCCAGCACGCCACTGGCAATTACGTAACTGGTCACGTAGAATTAATATTATTTTCTCGCTCTGTCAACCCCACCGATCTGTAGTAGTTGTGTTGTAGAATTTCTAGTATGAAGTCTATCCAAGCCTCCTTTCCAGTTTCATGAAGGATCGATTAGTGAGAGTATAAGAGAGTTATATTTATACAACAGCTCCAGGATTTCATCGCTGAGGTCAACAACTACGTCACCGAAATTTTAGATTCCATGCCACTCCATCTGATGAGATGATCAATGCCCATATAGTAACGCCCTTACAGAGATACGTTTTCGAGCGTTTTCATTTATGTTTTCACGCTAAAACGTATGCAAATACTATCAATTTATGACAGAAGCTGTAGTTTATTTAAAAAGTTGGATATATTTTCCTTTGGACCGTGTGAACAGGGCGTCAAGACGATTATAGGGACAAAAACGTTTTTGAAAACGCTGGAAAACGACGCCCGTGTGCACATAGCCTCAGTGGACAAAAGTGTGCGACTTAGCTAATCAAGTATACAGACTCGGATGAGCACGACCTGACGACCACCAATACCAAATTAGTGACGCAAGTGTTCTTCATAGCATTACTCATCGGATATAGTCATTTTTCAACCTTATATTTTCAACCCAATATCTAATCGAGGCGGGGTGTTATAATAATAATGGAAACTTTATTCACTTTCAATAATATATACATACTGCAGTGATAAACCTCTCTTTACAGATAGTTTTCCAGTGTAATACTTGAATTAACACTCTACATAATAACAATATTAGTACAGGGACCGCGGAGCCTGTTTAAAAGGGGGGCAGGCAATCTCGTAACAAGTCGTGTTGGACAACTTGTAGCAAGTCTGTTACCGTCATTGTAACAAAGTGATAACAACTTGTTCCAGACTTGTCAGAACAACAGAGATATCATATCGGCTTGACAACAACCATAGTTCAATGGTTACAACTAGTTGCAGATTTTAATGCACTATCCAGTCTTGGTTGTTATAGTCATATAGATCAGTTGCTTCTTGCGTGTATGTTGCTAATGGCAACAGGACATAAATTTCAAAATGGCTTCCAAAAATTGAGTGATAAACCGAGAAGTTATCCCTGAAAAACCATTTGTAACCATTTCCAATTATTTTCTTTCGTTTTATTTTGCATTTAGTAACAATGGACGGTAGTATAAGGTCGCTTTTGCAAAGCTGTCGAGGCGATAGTGAGCCTGAAAGTTTATTTGAACCGTACGAAAAGTTGAAACAGGAGAGCGATGGAAATGTGAAAGCCAATGTTGGGACTGATTTGTTTGTATTATGTGCTGAAGTTGCTTGTCTGGTGAGCTATATTTATTTGTAAAATGATAGTGGAGGAAGAAGTACATAACTGTTTTTGTTCGTTTGAAATTGAACGTTAAAGTAGTTAGTACAAATATGCAGCAATGTTTTGTCAATACTTTGCCCCAGGGAGGAGCATCAGCCATCAGGTATACCCCAATTCACTGGTATACCCACAGAATTTGACATTTTGTAATGACATTTATGTCAATTTTCCAACTGTGGAGATACCTGATTAGGTCAAAGTATTAACTTCAATTCCCCAACTGATTAAAAATACTCAAAGAAGAGCACTAAATTATCTGTGGCATATATAGCCAGCCCAACGATTTGGTCCCGCCATGCCAGGTTGGAATCCGTAGGTGTTACGCTGGATATCTCCGGCGTAAAATCTTATTGATATTTACGCCATCAGCAGGCATGCAGAGCAAATGAATGATCACCTGATCATTCACCGGATCAATAATACCAAATTATTATTTAATACATCATGATGGTTGGGAAAAAATTTTATTTACAGGTACAATGTAATATTTTATTAAAGTCTTGAGCTTTTTGTTATTTGAAATGGTACTCTTCAACTGACTTGGATTTAAGTTATTGACTGCTGACTTGTCAGACCTGTGGTATTTTGTGGCCATTTCCGTTGCATTAAAAATCGTAGACGTATATTTCCGGATGTGGCGTAACTAGTCGATGTCCACTTGGCGTAACCTCCGGCGTAAAAATTTTACGGATTCCAACCTGGCCGCCATGGAAATTTCAACTCATCGTTATTCAGTTCTTTAGAAATTGATTGTGTTGATAAGTTCTTTGTATGTTTGCATGGCGATAAAACATATATTAATTGTTTTGTTTGTGGAAACACCACGTAAATTTGTTACTGCAAAGCTTTCGATCCGTAAGCCCGGATCTTCATCAGTGCTAGTCATAAGTTCTCTCGCAAAATGAGAGAGTCAATTGAAATCGAGAAGCACAATACTATAGATCAGGAGGGAAAGCCACTAGATAGTATGTGGCATGCTCTCTTTAATGTGCAAAATTAATTTCTCTACATTTGAAATGACATAGTTGATGTGCCGTTTAATTAAATTTCAAATGACTCAAGCCAACAGATCACGACACTTTTGTATATAAAAAAGGGCGTGTGAATGATGAAGATCCGGGCTTACTGATTGAAAGCTTTGCAGTAATAAATTTATGTGGTGTTTCCACAAACAAAACTATATATTATTATGGGAGCAGCTAAGGTTTAGTAAACAATTTGCTAAACCATAATACCATATGCTTGCACATGGGTAACTAGGTCAATGTGGAAAGTAGTATTTGACCGATCATGCCACAACTGGAATTGTTACTGATCATTCCAAATCACAATTAATTGGCTTGATTCCAATTATTAAATTATACTGTAATCATTTTCAAAATTTGTTGGAATGTTTGTGGCTTGTAACAAACATTTATATCTATCAGCTCCCTCCCCATTTAATGTTGTTTACCTGCGCACGCATCAAAGTAAGATGCTATTAAACTGAGACCCAACATTGAAACAGGGGTGGGGGGGTGTATGTGGATGATGTTTTTTGTCAGAATGATAGGTAGTTGGGGCATATCTGTCCCAACACGTTATTTTGCATGTGCATAATTGACACAAACACAATTTCATTAATTTGCATGCACATTAATTGGCATATTGAACACAATTCCTTCAAATGATAAAATATTTTTCAGCCCATATACAGTTAGTAGTTAATTGCATAAAAAGTACACATCCTTGAGCTTGGCAAATTGACAGCCCTTTCATAAAAATCAGTAACATATACAATTGGGAATTTGTGTTTGTTCAAAAATGTTTTATCTTTGTTATAGCATAAGAAATTTGAGATTGCAGAAGATTGTATAAAGATGTATTTCAAGCACTCCCCCCCTGGAAATCAATATCTTTGTCGAGCATACATGTGTCAAGCTCAGATACATGCTCCATCTTCAACAAAGAATCCAGTTAGTGCATTTATAATAATTTTGTGCCGAATGTTCTCACATGAGACATGAGTTGTGGACAACTTGATTAAATTTGCTGATTAGATGAAGAATCAATTTCATAATTATCTTATATAGGAACAGATTGATAAAGCAGTCCTTTACTTATTAAAAGCAATTAATTTTGCTAAACAAAATCCAAGGTATGGAATTGATAGATTAAAACATCCTGTATATCAAAATATCAGTCTAACTCTTGTGCAGTACTTGTAAGTGTCCAGGCACAAGTCAGCTGTTGGTTTAACATTTTCTTTTTATTATCATTTATTGTATCTGTTTACTGTGTCTTGTCATAGCAGCCCTATTAACCATATATGTTTTTGTCCCTGGATGGCAATTTATTGTTATCAAATGTTAATCCATGTTAATAGTATTAAAATAATAGATATGTCTATTTTTATATTGTACAGTATGTACTGGTATTGTCTTGTTTGTAATGTCTTTATAATCAAGTATTTGATATTTATTGGTAAAAATTGCCTAAGTGGATAGATAATTTTATCTTTGAGGGCATTTTTGATATTGACAGCAATTGTATATAGTGAATTTTTTTGTGACATATTTTATGTATTTTAGATACCATTTCTTGGTGTATAATGCTTCAGTCCTGTACTGGCGGTTTTGTCGTATTTTTCTCAAGCCAAACTATAAACGTTTGCTTGCAAAGTCATTGCATCAAGTTGTTAAAGCATTGGATGACATTGATGATGAGGACTATGAATGGCGAGCTCAATTGATGATGTGAGCTTGATTCATGATGATTTTCTTAACATTAAATGCCTTGTCTTATTTGTCCCCCTTTCTAATAGCCTCCTCTCTGATAAACCCCTCTCTCCAATATCACCCCTTTCTCCAATAAGTCTCTCTCTAATAAGCCCCCTCTCTCCAATAAGCCCCCTCTCCAATAAACCCCCTCTCCAATAGGCCTCCCTCTCTAATAATCTCTTTCTGGAATAAGCCTCTCTCCAATAAGCAGGGGCCTCTAATAAGCCCAACTCCATAATAATAAACCCCATCTCCAATATAGTTTTTAACAACACATGTGTACGTTAGAATTTTGTGTACCGACTACAAGGTTTACTGTGTTTTGTCCCTCTCCATCTAGGCTGTTGCGGTATTTGAAAAAAAAACGAAAACCGATACCGGAAAAAAAATACCGATGTATCGATATTTTTTCGCGATTGTATTTTCCTTAATTTTATGCAAAATTTGCGTTTTCAAACGATGCCAAACAGCCACGATATAACAGCTTTGACTTATCGGGTGCGTGATATTTTCAATAAAGTCTGAGGTGACGTCAGTGATCAGCCGCCTGTGAAATTGAAAATGCATATTACTTATTAGCATTGATTACCACACCGGATGAATCATGTGTGATATTTTTGACCGGGAAATTGTTTCAAAACATTTTATTCAACTGCGAATTCGAAACAAAGGTCGTCCTATCTCACCAGATAAACAATGTCCAATGAGGTTATTTTTTGTTTTTCTAAAACATTTGCAATCCACCGTTACGTTCTAAAAAGCAAGCGCGTTGGCAAGCGCGAAATGACATATTACACCTTGCAACGCCAACGTACTGTATAAACAAACACGTTTTAGATTTCGCTCTAACCTTAGCGCTTGAAAAAGCTTGTTGCATCGGATGTAGTAACTTCTAACAAATGCTCTCAACCGTGTAAAGGAAACATAATTAATCAACAACTAGGTGCCAAACAATTAAATGGTACACAATACAGGAGAGATTTTAGAGCTGAATTTGAAAACAAATAATACCAGAGGTAAAACGAAAACGCGTGAACCTACTTTGCGACCGAAATATAATATACCTCTTTTAACCGTCAGCAACTTTAATTTTATCCCTGAGAGAGTAAAAGACGTTGAACGTGTTGTTGTGCAAGAAGAATGCTACACAGCTCAATCCTCGCAGTTTTTTGGGGGGCCTTCCCCTACCCTACCGGGACAAGTGCGGGAAGTATCATTAAACGATGAAATATCCAGGGAAGATGAAATGATCCCCAATCCTAATGTACTCGTTCTCGGACCGGAATCGCAAATTGTTGGGATGATCGAACTTTCCGAGGGATTGAAGTTAGCTCATTTAAATATGCGATCCCTACGAAATACAGCCCATTTCATGCAGTTGAAAGAACTCGTTAGAGCAAATAGAATTGACGTCTTTACTATCTCCGAGACATGGTTGAACCATACGGTAACGAATAAGAAATTAAAAATCGATGGTTACAAATTACATCGCCTGGATCGATTGTATAAGAAAGGTGGCGGTGTTTGTGCATACGTTCGTGAAAACATAAAGTCATCGGTAATCAAAGAACTTACTCAGATCTCTGACACAAGCTTCCACCAATTATGGATTAATTTGCAGTATAAGAAAACTAAGTCCTTACTGGCCTGTGTCTGTTATCGTCCTCCAGATTGGCCACTTGACTGTTTCGAAAATTCTCTCAAACCTCAGTACGTCCATGCTCTCAGTATGCGAAAACCGACCATCATCATGGGAGACCTAACTTGCAACATGCTGAATACAACAAGTCGAGAATGTAAATCATTAACCGAAATGACGTCAGAACTCAATCTCAAACAAATTATCGAATCTCCAACCCGCATCACAGACATTAGCCAATCTTTGATTGACGTGATTTTGGTCAGTTCTCCTAATACCGTACGTGACAGTGGTGTCCTAAACTGCACTATCAATGATCATCTACCCGTATATGTTACGCTTAAGCTAAAGCTTACCAAACCACCACTCACCCACATTGCAGTTCGCAGCTATAGGAACTACGACCCCGAATTATTTGCTGCTGATGTCGCATATAAATCTGAACGCCTTCTTTCCGTCAAAATTTTCGATGACGTACTTCAGACCACCCTCGATTCTCATGCCCCAATAAAGACCCTAAAAGTCAGTGGCAGACCGTGCCCATTTGTGACACCTGAAATAAATGGAACTGATGGGCAAGAGAGATCGACTACACGGCCTTTTTCTTAAGACACGAAACTACAGCGATTGGTGCAACTTCAAAGCAGCTCGTAACTCTGTTAAGACCGAACTCATTAAAGCACAAAGAAATCATGTCTACAATGAAGTGATGAAGCATAAAAACAATACGGGTTCCTTATAGACAATTATCAAAGGTACTGTAGCTTACAAAGAAAAAGAGACGGTCGTCTATAGCAAAGACCCAAAGATAGTTGCTGAAGAGTTCAACCACTTTTTTTCTTCTGTTGGGGAAAACACAGCCATAGCAGCATCTCAATTATTACAAGATCATAATATTTACCATGATACTCTACCCACTACAGCGTTTAATAGAAATTACCCTGTATACTAATGTGAGATGTTTAATTTTGACTCTGTCTCCTGTTCTGAAGTTAAAAACATTATAACGTCCATGCCCACCAACAAGGCTCCAGGCAAAGATAAAGTAAGCATGCATGCGCATTATTAAGGACTGCTTACCAGTCATCCTCGGACCATTAACAGATATTATTAATGCTTTACTGACGTCTTCTGAGTTCCCACAATCTTGGAAGGAGGCAGAAGTTATTCCACTAATAAAGGAGGGTGATCATGAACTGCCGCACTGTAAATTTCAGGGAGTTAATTTAACTCCAGTGGTATTATTCTGAACCTAATTTTACTCCACATTTGGAGTTAATTGAGGTACAGTATAACTCCACCGGAGTTAAGTTAACTCCATGAAATTAACAGTGCATCCAACAATCGTCCCCTTTCCTTAAGCCTGGTTTCCATTAAATCGTAATTATCGCAAGAACCGCATCGCAAGGGTCGCAACGATTTTAAAAACGCGGAAATTTTAATAAAAACTGCGATTTATTGGAAACTTGAGTCACACAGATCACTAAGACTCTTACGACAAAGTCGCAAAGATAGACTTACTGCGATTTTTGCGATAGCGATGTCTGCGTTCCGCGACTATTGCGATGATTACGATTTAATGGAAACTAGGCTTTACTTATAGTTGTGTCAAAAATTTGCGAGAAGGTCGTTTTATGCCAATTTACAACATTTTTGTTCTATAATGAATGTCTGACATCGTATCAAAGCGGTAACAGAAGATATTCCTCGGAAACTTTGAACGTTTTGGTTGATGATACCATATTGGAAGCTATGGACCAGAAATCTGTAACTGCACTTATAGGTTAAAATTCCTATTGTCACTTTATCAATTTGATCAGATAATTGATAAACCCACTAGGGTAACTAGAACGTCAGCAACTTTGATCGATCTGGCAATCACGAATAAGAAACAAAATATTGTAAAATCCGGAGTACTTCATCTAGGTTTATCTGATCACAGTTTAATTTTTGTGGTCAGAAAACATTTTAAGATCACGTCTCGACAAAATGTTAAGTATGCTCGTAACTTCAAAAAATTTAGTGAAACTGACTTTCTCAATGATCTCTCACAAATTCCGTGGGACAATGTGACATTTTACGACGATCCCAGTATTTCATATCAATTATGGCGGTCACATTTTTTGCAAGTATTGGATCTGCATGCGCCGCTGAGGCGTATGAGAGTTCGTGGCAATTCTCTCCCATGGATTACCTCGAAAGTAAAGGAGTTAATGCGAGAGAGAGATTTTCACAAAAAGAAGGCCGTAAAAAATCATTCGAACATGCACTGGATCAAGTTTAGAGCAATTAGGAATAAAGTCAATTCTGAATTAAAGAAGGCTAAAAAAAACTACTTTTGCAATAAAATCGAAGATTGTGCCAGGGCAAAGGACCCTAAGCAAAGTTGGAAATTAATAAACAATCTTTTAGGCAAAAATAATAAATCAAATAATATTTCTCAACTTAAAGTTGAAGACGTTATTATTTCTGACGACATAAAGATAGCCGAGTCCTTTAATGATTTTTTTGTGAATATCGGAGCTAAACTAGCTAACGAAATCGAGATCAATTCCACTGATTTCACTTCATTTCAAAGTGTTCCTTCCAAGCCAGATATTCAGTTTAAGTTCTCTGAAATAAGTACACACGAAGTGTGTCTTCAATTACGCAATCTTAAAACATCAAAATCAACAGGTATTGATACAATTCCAGCGAGAGCACTTAAAATTGCTGCTGAAATAATTAGTCCGTCACTAACGTGGATATTTAATTTATCAATTAAAACTGGAATTTATGTGGAAGAATGGAAAAAGGCTTGGGTTTTACCAATTTATAAATCTGAAGACAGACAAAAATGCGAAAATTATCGTCCAATTTCCATTCTACCAATTATAAGTAAAATCTTTGAACGTTTAGTCTTCAACCAATTATACAAATATCTAAATGAACACTCCCTGCTTTCTAAGTATCAATCCGGCTTCCGTCCAAAGAACTCAACTTTGTCTGCACTTATTCAAATGTGCGATGCCTGGTACACTAACATGGATAATGGAGACTTGAGCGGTGTTGTTTTTCTTGATATTCGGAAAGCGTTTGACTCAATTAACCATGATATTCTATTGCGTAAAATGAAAGAACAATTTGGAGTTTCAAATATCGAATTTAAATGGTTTGAATCCTACATTTCTAATAGGGAACAAGTGTGCTTTGTCAATGGCACGATGTCAACACCTAGAAATCTCGTTTGTGGAGTCCCTCAAGGGTCTATTTTAGGCCCACTTCTATTCCTGCTTTATATTAATGATCTCCCAAATAATCTCAAGAATACAATCCCGTGCTTATATGCTGATGATACACAGATTTTTTCATCTGCTAATTACTATCAGCACCTCGTTTTCAATTTGAACAGTGACTTGAATAACATAAGTCAATGGCTCAAACAAAACAAATTGCAACACCATTCATCCAAAACTAAAGTAATGTACGTAGGATCTAAACATAATCTCCATAAGATAAATAATGACATTCCTGTAATGTTAAATGGTCAACCAATTCCTAGGGTAACCTCAATACCTTGTTTGGGCGCCACCCTTGATGAAACGTTGAGTTGGGATGAGCATATTGACGTAATTTGCAGAAAGGTTGCAGCAGGTATTGGAACGTTAA